GTTCAGCCCCTTTTTGGCTTCAGAACTGCTTTTCTTCTGTGTGGCATGGATTATATAAGGTGCTAGAAACACATTGGTTTGGGATTTGGTGACTGTGGAGGCTATTTGAATATAGACAATTTATTTTCATGTTCAAGAAAACTGGTATGAGATGATTTGACCTTTGTGATATGGTGTGATTTCCTGCTGGGAGCGGACATGAGAGGATGAGTACAATGTGGTCATAAAGGGATGGACATTCTCAAAATACTCAAATAGGCTGTGGTGTTTAAATGAGGCTTAGTTGTTACTTTGGGACCTAAAGTGTGCCAAGAAAATATCCCCCACACCATTACACCACCAGCAGCTGATGCCGATGCTTTGCTTGAACTTCAATAAATACAGAATTTTGGAAGTTTGTATACTCAAATAAGCCTTTTTATTAATCCACCCCACTCGAAACATTAAAATCTATTCAGAGAGCAGTGAAAGTGTCTGCACTTTGATCTTACAATTCTTTAACCTTTGACCTACATATTAGATTTTCTTTTCCTCTCTTCACTTTTAGTGTCCTTTATTTTCTGTTGTTTTGAATTGCTTTATCTACATTTTCCCACGAAAAGCACCTCTGAACTGTCCCAAAACATTTTTGTTTGAAATACCAATATGATTTTTTTTTATTTATTTATGCCAAAATAATGCAACCCAGTGTCATGTGTTGAATGAGTAATCCTTTACAAGCCTCTCCCAAGAGATCTGAAAAGACTTTGAGTTTCCAGTGTACACCGGCCATTCTGTATTGCTTCATCGTCGCAGTCATAAAACCTGTGGTGTTGATCGGAATTAGATTGAACAGCTGCGAATGGGGGGGGATTAAACAAACTGACAATTTTGGTTCTGGCCTGTTGGTTGTGAGGTTATTTATAAACAGGCTTTTATGCCTTGAAGTGGTTTAATTGCTTAGGATGAGTGCTGAACCCTAAAATAACAGCCTGGTCAGTTGCCCATTAAAGTGCATGTTTTAATCACTATATTTCAACACATTTTCAGGTCAAAGAACAGTAGGTGTGCAATGTAATGGGTAGTCTGTTATATGAACAGTAGTTACATTTTTATTGTGTGCTTTTTTTAGATTCTATATCAGTAGTAATTTTACAACATTTGTCCTTCTCGTCGTGGCAGTTTAAATCACAAAGAGTGACAATGCGATCATAGATTACAATTTTTACTTAAACCTGAGATCAATTAATGTGAAATTAATATAGAAATGACTATAAATAGACTACAAATAAATACTAGTTTGTTATTTTTGCCATCTATTAGAAGGAGCCTCAGCCTAGCAATAGTAAGACAATTTTGTTTCACTTGAATAAGACTTGATGCAGAGCTTGAAGTCAGCATGCAGATCGATCAAACACAGAAAAGGCTCACTGCACTTAACAGCACATCTGTGCACACAGACAAAAGAAGAAGATACACTCTTCACTTTGCAAGCCTTCCACATTTAAAAGCCAAATGAGATTGCAATTATCTAGATATTGTTATACAAGACAGGCGTTACAGATGGAGAGTAGCAAGACACTTTACAGTCCCAGTTATTTAGTGGTTGTTCCTGCACTGTAGGTTTGACTTCCTAGTATTGTTGGATTAGTGCTGAAGGTTAGAAGTATATGTGTACACTATTTTCCAACAGCCATTTTAAAAACTTGTTAAAAAAACAAAAACTATCCCGCCTAACTGGTTTGATATGACTCACACTGCAGTGCGTTAACATTGTTGTTCATTCTATCCACGCATTGCTGCCCTACCTCATTCAATGTTCAAGCAAAATAGAGGAAATGTTAGCGGGAGAACTGGGGTGCAGAATAACTCACGTTCACACCAGTAATAAGCATTCGGTAAACAGGTGACTTTGGGAGATTGTGCTGGATCGTTACAGCTGTGAATACTTTCTTTATTAACCCAAAAAGGTATTTTTGGGAAAACCTCTGGTCTCTCGTGTAGTCTAGGTCACTCGAATTTGTTGTTAGTAACAACCCTGCATATTAAGAGAAATGTAGGACACAATATCCAAGGAAAAGTCCTTCGTCTGGCAGGTGCCTATAAATAAGGTTGACGCTGTTCATCTCAGCAGCTGCTGTATTGTTTTAATTCACGGTCAAAGTCATAACAAATGTTAACTTAGGAGTTAAAGTGTAATCGTAAGGAACTCAGCACTGTGATGTGACAATAAAAAGTCATTCGATTTGATTTGACTGAGGCTGGTACTTTCTAAGTTTGTTTTCAGGGTTTTCTTATAATATCTTTCTTTGGATTCTTCTAAGAAAGACAAACCACAGATCTCTTTTCCAGAAGGCACCTGTATCTTGGGTGTGGTATGTGGAAGTATTGTATGTGTAAAATGTTAGTTCAGTTAGTCAAGATCACAGAGACGTGTCTGCTATCAGAATGACTAACATTTTCTCAGAAATATCCAGACTGGTCGACTCCCAAAGAAAGCCATGTGTACTGGAAGGACCACACGTTGCACTGTTTACTATCATGTTGCACACCTCACTATGTAACTTTGTTGGATACTTTTTCTTTTGATGGCAATCCAAGAGCTGATAAACAGTCCTTTTCTGAAAAAAAACCCCCAACAAAAACAAACAATAAAGTTCTATTTTATGTTTTTTTTCTATTGTGTTCTATTCTGTTTAAATCTATTGTGTAGTTGTGGAGCCACCTTGAGGCCAGGGAGCACAGAAATGTACCATTTGGGATAGTTCATCCATAGCAGATGTAGTATCAGTTAAGCTGAAATTACACAATGTATGTGAGATTTTAACAGCGTATTAATGAGAAACCAGTCATCAGTGAAACAGAACGTGAGGGCCGGAAACAGACAGGAAAAAGAAAAGAGAGGCAGAAGACTAACAAGAAGAATAAATCAAATCTTTCCCCTCCTCTTTGTCCAACTTTGTTGTGTCTGATCATAAATACTGTAGCACAACTTTTGTGTTTAGAGTGTAAACATAGCTATAGGATCCGTGCTTT